CTAATTTCCCAGAATGCCCTAGGCAGGGGAAGGGGAGCCTATGGTCCCCTGCAGGGGGGTGGGAAGCGGGAAGCAATTCCGTACAAAGGCTCTGTCGTCTTTTTAAACCATTACTAATCTGTGTCTTCTTTACACGTGTTAAGTTCTCTTTAGTAAGGCTGACTTTCCTGTAAAGACTGTATTTACGGGCTTTTTTCCCCCTCCGAAGAAGACGTGAGGTGTCCATATTTGGGAGCATAAGTGGAACAGAGAGAAATGATTATCGGGTTAATATTTGTTGTTACTGTATTTGCTATTTTGCTACTTTGTTGTTTTATGTTCCTTGTTGTAAACCGCCCAGAGTGGCCTTGGCTGCCAGATGGGCGGTATAGAACGAACGAACGAACGAACGAACGAACGAACGAACGAACGAACGAAAGAAAGAAAGAAAGAAAGAAAGAAAGACACACCGCCTTATAAGGTTCATTATACAACGTCTACAATCCTGATCCGGCCAATGTTTCTTTCGTACTGTGTTTATGGCCATAGCAAAAAAGGAAAGGAAAGGAAAGGAAAGGGAAATTGTTTTATTAAACCTTGCTTAAACTGTGGCTTATTGTCACATCTGAACCAAAAAATACATTGCGTGTCCCTAACTGGTTTCTTCTAGAGATAGGCACAAGCCTTAATTCGGAGATATGTGCTGATTTGTATATGTGGTATATGCTGTGCATTCTCTTCCCCTGCCTGCCTGATGGCTGATATGGAGACTGGTGAAGAAAGCATGCAGAAAGTGGAGCCAGGGGGTGAAAAGCTGGTGCCAGACAGACTGGGTACCGGGCCTCTGACTTAGTTGCCCAGGGATAGAGTTCCAATTGAATGGACCTTCAATAGCCACAGTTCTCAATGTAGCTTGTTTCCCTGAATTTCTGGACGTTTGGTTTGAGACGTTTCATGTGGTCCTTTCCTGGGAGGCTGTACCCACGGAACTGACAGGCTGAAGAGCTGGATGGGGTTCCCAAGGATGTGGAAAGCCACGTTACCATGAGCAACCTCACGATGAGCAGTCCTGTGCGTCTTCTTACCTTCGCTAGACACGACCCTTCCAAGCAGAGCTTGGAAGAGATCCTTTTTTAAAGACGGTCAATCCCAGGATTTCCCAGCCCCCAAATCTTGTGTGAAGCCTGGGAGGCGTAATCCAAAAGATGACCCAGACTCTGGTATGGCCTCATCCAGTGCCATCCAGCCCAATGCATTTGCCTAGGCTTTGGTAGTTCAGAATGGTTGACCATGAACGCACGTCCTGCAACCCATCATCATGGAAAACAGCACCACGTCTTACCCAGAACACTTTATTCTGGTGCCAAGGATCACTGCTTGGGGCCAGGAAGCACCTCTCTGTATTCAGCCTAGGTGCTTTGGGGATTGCCTCCAGAAGACCCAGTTGCCCATGGTGTGTGTTACTGGGCAAGTGTGCCAGGCCTCCGGCTGAAGCTACTGGCCAAGCAACGTAAAGGGAGAGGCACAGATCCAATTGGCAGAGATTAGAGAAGATTAGCCACCAGGGTGGAAGATTTTCCCCGCAAGGAGCAGATGGCCTTGGATAGATCCGGGGTGAACTGAGTCAAGTGGGGTTAAGGCCTAGCTGACCAGCCTGCACGGTCTCATCATCCCAACAGTGTATCATCTCCCCACTCCTTCCTTTTAGAGGCAGGGTAATCTAAGATGGTAAGATAGGTCTCTGCCCCATAGAGTTTACAGTTCAAATTTCAGCAACAGAGCTGGTAGAAGCAAGAGGGAAGGGCTAGAGAGATGATGCTTTGAAACAAGGAATTATGGTTCTTCCATTACTTGCAGGCAGCGGGGAGGGGAGAGAGACCAGGGGCCAGCCGTGCAACCCACTGTGATGGGTTTGGGCAGAACATGCTTAACGCTAGCAGGCACGACCGTTATTGCTGGCTGAGACCAGAACAGCCAAAAAAGGGGGCGGAGGACAGGAGAGGGCCTGAGTTACTCCTGCAGCTCGAAACCTTGTTTCTACCCAGATTCACCACCGTTGCGGGAGGGGGGAACAAAGCTTAGGATCCTCTTAGGTAATTTCCGGCACCGCAAGGCCAGGAGAGGTTTGGGTTTGGCACAGTTTCGGCTGGCACAATCGGGAAGAGAAAGAGCTCGCCTTTTTCGACCACCCGTGGACAGGCGATTGGGTGCAAGCTCTTCTTTCAGTGACGGCATGACGCCCGGGATATTGCGAACCAGCCCAACCCCGCTGTGTGCCCAAGGGGAAACTTTTATGGTCCACCCGTACGGCTACTCTTCCTTGGGAGTGGGCTGGTGCACTTCCTGTAGGAAGAGCACAGTTCGTGGTGTGCTTCCTAGTTTGTTGCAATTTTTAGCGTCAAGAGGATTGGGAGGGGCAGCTGTTTTGCGGGAGAGACATTCCAGCACATATTAGAGCTCCTGAACTGGTTAAGGCTTTAGAGCTCATGGCCGGTACCTTGATTTGGAGACGGAAATGAACAGGGAGTCAACGAAGGTGGGTCAAGGCTGGGGATGTGTGTTGATAAAAAGGCACTCTTCACCAGAATAGGTTCACAATGTATTCGCGAAGGCTTTCGCGGGCGGGATCTAATGGTTGTTGTGGGTTTTTCGGGCTCTTTGGCCGTGTTCTGAAGGTTGTACTTCCTGACATTTCGCCAGTCTCTGTGGCCGGCATCTTCAGAGGACAGGAGTCAGAACTCTGTGCTCTCAGTGTTTCACAACGCTTGGAGAATGTGGATGCTAGGAAGCTGCCATCTGGAAGCACTCACAGCATAAGCGGGTGTACCAGTAACACGGGCTTCAACTCCATGCTCAACTGTGGTGACAGTGACATGTGACATGAAATCTCCTCCCGCTCGCCCCCGTTTTAGGGAACAACCTCTCTGTTTCTGTGTGGGACACCTTCAGCTCTTTCTCAAAACCATCGGTGTCACCAGAGATTAACTCCAAATCCCACTCTCTTCCTCCGTTTTGCTCGGAAAGAGGAAACAGCCCCTCATCATTCACCTCTCTGGTCTGCCTCTCTGTCTCCTGGCAAGAAGCTCAGGGGTGTGTGTGTTATTGCAGGATTCAAGAACATTCTGGTGGCGAGGAAGGTGGTGGTAGATGTGTTGGGTTGTGAAGAGGGCCCAAGAAGAAAGAGGAAGCTTCCTCCACCAGTTGGGATCACTTCCTTTTCCAAGAAAGGCCAAGCGACATGAATGGGAAATACATTTGTGGTTTTAAAACGCGCAACCTGCTTCGGCTGGCAGGACGGAGAAGCGCAGCCGACCACCCACGGGGTCGAACCAATCCGAATGTGAATTGATCCCAGGGAGCTGAGGATTTCTTAAATCCAGAGGGTGACCCAAGAAGATGTAAAATGAGCAAATAGACCAAACATAATGAAATGCATCAAAGGCAGAGGGCTAGAATACTTTGTTCTTGTAAAGAAAATGAAAAAAAAAAGCCCAAACATTAATACAGTTGATCATTCCATGTACAATACATGGGAAAAAAATGTTCAGGGAAGATAAACTTGATTTAAGAACCTGAAAGAGTCTTTTGGGTGTGACGCAGCATGGTCATGTAGAGAAGCTTTGTCCAAAATCAAGACAACCGGGATGATATACAGCCTTCGTTAGGAGAGGAAAGGCAGAGAAGATGTGTTTTGGTGAACACAAAGCTGCCATTTCAAAGAGGAATCCAGATCTTTCCTGTAACTTAACTTCAGCAAGTCCAGAATATGACAGCCAGATTATTGGCTGGGGGCAGGGGAGAAATGCCACCACATCTCCCCCAAGCTGGTCACCTTGCACTGGTTACCTGTTCATTTCCATGCCAGCTTCAAGGTAACGATGCTGATTTACAAAGCCTTAAATGTTTGGGGACCTTGATACCTGGCAGGACACCTCCTTCCAATGAGGTCTGCCCATTCTATAGGTTCTTCCCAGGCAGGGCAGCCAAGAATATTGACCCTGAGAGAGGACCGGAAGAAGAAGACCAGGAAGTGAGGCTTCTCAGCGGTCACCCCTCATCTTTGAAACAATCTTCCGCCTGAAATTTGTTCGGCCCCTTCACTGGGAAGCTTTAAGCAACCATTGAAAACATGGCTTTTCAGGCAGACTTTCCCGGAGAATTCAGCATCTTCATGCAATGGTAGTTCATAGAGTTTTATACTACTTGTTCTGCCATCTTGCCTTTAAATTATCCTATTTTTTTAGATTTCCCTCTGTTGCTAGTTTGTGTTTAAAGGTAAAGGTTCCCCTTGACAATTTGCCCAGTCGTGTCCGACTCCAGGGGGCAGTGCTCATCTCTGTTTCCAACCCATAGAGCTAGCATTTTGTCTGAAGACAATCTTCCATGGTCACGTGGCCAATGCCATTACCTTCCCACTGTGGTGGTACCTATTTATCTACTCATATTTTGCATTTTTTGCATGCTTTCGAACGGCTAGGTTGGCAGGAGCTGGGACAAGCGACGGGGGCTCACGCTGTCGCGTGGATTCAATCTTACGACTGCAGGTCTTCTGACCTTGCAGCCCAGAGGCTTCTGCGGTTTAACCCGCAGCGCCACCACATCCCTACACATTTGTGTTTAGTTGATGTTTATTTTGATTATTATTGTGTTTACTGTCTTCTGTTATTGTTTATCTGTTTTTAGCTGTAAACCCCCCAGAGTAGCCTGGGTGGAAGCCAGATCTTTTTAGCTGTAAATCCCCCAGAGTAGCCTGGGTGGAAGCCAGATGAGCAGTATAAAAGTCAAATAAAATAAAATGAAATAACCATTCCACTTTCAAGGGAATCCACGGCTTTCTCCTCCAGCCCAGCCCTTTCCTTCACAGTATAAAAGTCAAAATAAAATAAAATAAAGTAACCATTCCTCTTTCAAGGGAATCCACTGCTTTCTCCTCCAGCCCAGCCCTTTCCTTCTATGTTTCCATGAAGTCACCTTTGATGTCACAAAGAGAATCTGTTAACGGCCTATCCCAAGCAGAAAACTTGGGGGGAAAGTTTGTAACGGACAACTAGAGACATCTCCTTGATGGTCTGTAGCTTTCTCAGGCTGGTTCAAAAGTAGACTAACTGCTCACAATTGAGGGTGACCTTGTTTATTATTACCCGGGTCCTGATTGGTCAACTTGTCTGGGACTCGTGGAGGAATTAACTCTGTGCTGTGCAGGGTACCAATCAATCTCTTAACATCAGGAAAGGACCCCTGGAAAGGCAGTAATCTGAAGTCATTCCACTGCTGCTGGGACCCACCATGGAATTTTGCTAACTTTCAATGTATTTCTGAGGCCAGCTCTTCAGTTGTTTCCTGTCCCCTTTGGGCCTCTTCTTTTAATTCATTTTCATTCCCTCTGGATCTAGAAAGACCTCTGGCATGTGTTTCAAGCTGCAAGCCTGCCTGGAGATCTCGGACAGCCAGGTATTCAAGAAATGGCCAGTGGAATATCGTTGGGACGAGGCTCCTCATGAGAGCACGGTCACTCCCTGCTGCAGCCAGAGCACGGTCAACCCCGATGGTAGTCTTCAACAGGGATCCGTTGCTGCTCCAAGTGAAGGCACTGAAACCACTGATAGGAGCATCCTCCACACCATAAAGCATCACTCCGGCAAGTACGCCAGGTACGTTTTAGCTTGTTCGATCGGCCGCTGGCTGCTGTACCCGGGCTCCGTGTGCCTCTTGAACAAAGTCCCGCTGTCTTTACTGGTGAACGGCCGGATGCACCTGATGGAGGATTTTCAAGGCAAACGGGCCAAACTGATCGCTCGGGACGGTAATGAGATTGATACCATGTTTGTGGACAGGAGGAGGAAGAGGAATCTGCAAAACCGAGGAGCAAAGTTGGTGATCTGTTGCGAAGGGAATGGCAGCTTCTACGAAGTAGGCTGTGTTTTCACTCCACTGAAGGCTGGCTACTCCGTCCTGGGGTGGAACCATCCGGGGTTTGCCAGGAGCACAGGGAAGCCCTACCCACAGAACGACCTCAATGCTATGGAGGTCGTTATCCAGTACGCCATACACCGCCTGCATTTCAGTCTGTCGCATATTGTCATCTACGGCTATTCTTTAGGGAGTTACACGGCGTCATGGGCTGGGATGACGTATCCAGATTTGGGGGGTTTGGTTCTGGACGCCCCCTTTGACAGCTTACTCCCGCTGGCAAGCCGAGTGGTTACAAAGAGCTGGAAGAAGCTGGTGCTACAGACGATCCTCGAGCACTTCAACCTCAACGTGGCGGAAATGCTGTGCCAATACCCGGGGCCGGTGCTGCTGATCCGGAGGACCTTTGACGAAATCACCAGCACCCAGTTCAGTTCGGAGACCGGGCTCCCCGTCATCAGGACGAATCGAGCCAACGAGCTGCTTCTACGGCTCTTGAGGTCCCGTTACCCTGATATCATCTTCGGGGAGGAAGAAGCCGTGGGCCACTGGCTCACGGCCGACTGCCCGGAGCTGGAAGCCCTCATCTACAACTACTTCTATAAGGTCGATGAGAAATGGTGCCTCTCTAAGCTCGAGAGCTACAAATCCACCCTTGGACCTGACTGTGCTTTCCCGTGGAAAGTTGGGAGGAACCTCCCTCCCAACAGGAAGACCCAGATGGCTTTGTTTTTGGCCAAGAAGCACCTGAAGAACGTAGAGACCACCCATGGAACAAATTTACTACCAGAGGAATTTGAGATACCCTGGAAGCTCTAGCAGAGGTGGTTGGGGGAGATGGCCGTTTGGTTGCAGAAAAATGAGAGAGAGAAATAAAAGCTAGGGTGTATGTATTTTTTTTGTGTATCCATGTTTGTGAGGTTTCAAAGCTCCGTTCCCAGTGACTATAGCTGAACGGGAAGCGATTGGGGGGTAAAAGCAGAGAGTGGGTTTCCTGTACTTTAGCCTTGTGAATGGCTTCTTTTAAATGCGCGCACACACACACACACACACACAAAACATGGACCTCTCTTTGGGGGAATCATGTTTCCTATTGCACTCTTATCTTGGCCCTTTGGTAGATGTGTTCTGTTTGGGGGTGGTAATGACGTGCTTCAAGACGTCCTTATGGGGTGTCGTCCTCTCTTTAATATCTGTATACTTACTGTTTTTAGCTTTAAATATTGTCTTTTGGTCATGTGAACTGCCTTCGGCCCTCCCTCGTTGAGGAGAAAGGCAGTGTAAAAATATTTTAAATAAATAAAAACAAGGATGCTGTGTTACAGCCAAGAAGGAGGGGCCCAGGTTTCCACGCAGTAAGGTCTTCACTCGCCTGCATTCTTTTCCCTTGAAAAATAAATGTTTTCGTATATCTAAAAGGAAGCCAGACAAGCAAATCATTGCTCGTGATAGTGGCCAAACCATGAAAAAAGATTCCAATAGCATGGTAAAAGAGCGACTGCCATATAAAACAGGGGTGAAGAACTACTTCAGATGTTTTGGTCTGATAACACCCATAATCTCTGATTCTTGGGTGTGCTGGAGGGGACTTCGGAGAAGTGACATTCCAAACCCTTGGAGGGCCAAAGTCCCCATCCTTGAGTCAAAGGCACTGAGCCGGGATCTCCTGTCCGAGGCTAGACATTGCAGCAGCTCAAAACATGGGAGATGGGTCATATTTTAGGATAAAGTGCTTGTCTCGTGCTGAACATACAGAAAGATTTTCATTTGGACAGGAACGGCACTGCATCATGATATGCATCATGAAAACTTTTTATTTGGTTTCGATTCAGGTTTCTTTGGGGGTTTGTGTGTGGGGGGGTTCCTCTTTCGTTTTTGGGTCTTTCATGCGCAGGTCCTTTAAAAAACAACAACAATAGGGAAGCAACCAGCTCTTTCAATTTAATTCATTTCCTTTCCCACCATTCATATTCTCTCTGGCTCTTGTTCCCAAATGCCCTGACAAACCTGTAAAACAGCCTCTGTAAACTCAAAAGGGAATGGAGCTAAACCATCATGCATCTGAGGGAAGAGGAACTAACAGCCCCCCCCCAAAAAAACCCGCTGTTTTTCTAAGCCAGCCCTACTTGGAACATCCCCATGCCTCAAAAACTTTCCGGGGTGTAAACGAAACTCTTCTGCAGTGTGTAAACATGAAGTTTTCTACTTGTCATAACAAGTCACTATTTCTATTGCCACAGAGGAACATAAAAATACAAAATATAATCCTGAACTCCAATTGCAAAGAAAAAGACCCACCCCACCCCCAAAAATCACCCTAGTTTTCTACTGGCGGGAAGAAAACCCCTCAATGACTTGGAACAGAATATCAGTTTATCTTTTTAGATGCTAAAGGAAAACATCAACCCATTCCTTTCTGAACTTGGGTGACATTTAAAGGATTATGCGCCTACGAGAGGCCAGCTCCTTGCATGAGCAGTGGCAAAACCATCGCTATACCACCACTACGTCCACCACCAACCAGGCTGTGCTCCAGCTCATTTGTTTGTTTGTGTGGTGCTGTTCACGGGACCTCTTCTCTCTCGCATGGCAGGAGTGAGGTGGTTGAAAGTCGGCAGGTATACCAGGAAGTGAGGGATAAAGTGGGGGGGTGGGAAATAGCGGGGCTCTGACTCTGGCTAACACCAGCTGCTTCTCTCCAAGCGGTGGAGTAAGAACCCTAACCAGCCATTGACGAACAAAGAGTAACTGACGGCATCAAAGGCTCCAGTGAAACAAAGAGACGACTCACACTGGATTCCCTTTCACACAATCCAGGCCCTTTTAGAAGTTCAGAATTCCCACTTCCCGCTTGCTTGGACATTCTGACTGGTTGCTGACAACACCCCTCATGATGCTGTTTGATAGAAAATTTCTCGGGTCATTTGACAGAGAAAGGGTGCAAAAAAAAAGGGTAAACCAAAGAGGGCTAACATAATATGTTCATGTCCCTCTCTTGTGTTAGGATGAAGCCGTTGTGCTTAAGAGGCTCTCTTTTAGGAATCAGTGAAAGAATATGACAACGAAAAAGAACGTATTTTTTTAAAAAAATTGTCATAAAACACAAATCCCACCTCGAATTCTGTATGTGTTCAATCAGAGACCCTCTGTTCCTTCAGCGGCACCTGCTTGCTGATAAGGATGTAATACCTCCCACAGTTACCTGCAGATACATTCTACTGAACACAACTGGGGCTTAATAATATGGGTCTATGTTAGCAACCACCCCACCTCAAATTAAATACTTGCTTATTGATTTATTTACTTTAACAGTGGTCTCATCTTATCAGAAAAGAGCCTTTGGAAGTTGAACCAATAGACATGACAATAGCAAAATACACTTGAAAAATATGAGTTCAGAGGGAAGTGGGTTGCAACCACCTGAAAAGCAGCCAAGATAGAAATATGGTATGAAAATGAGGGAGAAGATAAAAGATGATCCTCTAGTACCACAAAGACAGATAAGTGAGAGCTTCAGAAAGTTACTTGTTGGGACTACAACTCCCAGCGTCCATGCTGTTGTCCAAAAAGGGAACTTGTTCAATGCTGGGCTTAGTGGCAGCACGCTACCCACCCAGGGTAAGAACTCTAGGGTTCTGAGGCGCCCATGGATTTCCACCCACCTAACTTCTGAGAACAAGGGGATCTAAAGAAAGGCCTCTCAGAAGGAATGTAACAGCTGTGTTAGGTTCCTCTGAGTTCCTCTTTGCTAGACGACTACCTGACTATTCAGGGTTAAACGCAGCCCCTTGACTTGAGCTTAGAAACAGAACATGAGCTGGCATAGGTATATTTTAAATAGTGATATCAGTTCCACACAAACAGTCTCTGTAAGGATTCTAGATGCTGCGTTTCCCACACATAGCGGTTACCGAGCAGTCTTCAAGGGCAGGCGCGTTAGATTTTTTCCCCCCAGAAAATGCTCAGCGCGGCATCATGGCACCCACTCAACAAACAGTCCTGTACCCTAAAGCCCAGACAGAGCACTGCATATTGGATCACCACATCCACAGCAGTCCCCAGATGGAATGACGCCCCCTAGTGGCTAGCATCATAACTGTACGCCGATTGGTAGGTTTCCTTGCTCTCTGAGTCATAGGTTCTGATGAAATGCTCACAAAGGACGATGACCTCACCTATTATTACACTTCCTGGAATCCTGGGGGAATCAGGAAGTCCTCGGTGGGCATCTGGGGATCGCTTCATCATGGCCAAAAGGGGCAACTCCACTTCCAAAGCCAGGGTCATGCACTGGTAAAGGTATAAACCCCAAAGACCCTGCTCCAGAGACATCAAAAAATATCTGCCGTGGAGCTATTTTGTTTCTCACCACCCTTCTGTATTTAATTTATGCATTCAGAGGATAATCATTGTCTCCCTCCATGTGCATCTTGTGTTTTCCCAAGGCCATGGCCCATGTCTTTAAAACCTACTTTATGGCCAGTTACCACTTTGACTTTGGCAACTTGCCTGTGGATTTCCGGTGGGACGAAGCCGGTGGCCACCACAGCAATCCTCATGGTCATCATGGAGGCAGCAGAGGCCACGGGCGCCAGATCCTCGTCAAAGCAGCCCTGGGAGCGTGTCCTCTAGCCTCGACATTCTCGGAGAAGACCTATGACCTCCGGGATTCGTGGTGGGCTGTCCTTTGCAAGTTGAAGCAGCTGCCCAGCCAAGTGGCCAGCTACGTCATGGCTCATTCTTTGGGCCGTTGGCTGCTCTACCCGGGCTCCGTGTTCCTCCTCAACCAAGCGCTGTTGCCAGTCCTGGCCAAAGGACAGGCTCGCCTCTTGAGGGATTACAACGGGAAGCGGGCTAAACTGGTGGCAAGGGATGGGAACAAGATTGACACCATGTTTGTGGACCGGAGAATCAAGGAGAAAGAACAAGTGGGACAACGAGGGGACCAACTGGTGGTCTGCTGTGAGGGGAACGTGAGCTTTTACCAATGGGGTTGCCTTTCCACACCGCTGAAGACTGGATATTCTGTGTTAGGGTGGAACCACCCTGGATTTGCTGGGAGTACAGGCCAGCCTTACCCGGAGAACGATGCCAATGCGGTGGATGTGGTGATCCGATATGCCATGCTCCGTCTGGGCTTTAGGATACAGGACATCATTCTGTACGGGTGGTCCCTCGGAGGCTACGCGGCCACCTGGGCTGCCGTGACGTACCCCCTGCTGGGGGCCTTAATCTTGGACGCCACTTTTGATGACCTTCTCCCCTTGGCCCTCAACGTGATGCCCAAGAGTTGGAAGAAGCTGGTGGTGCGGACGGTGAAGGAGCACTTCAACCTCAACGTGGGCGAACTGCTCTGCAAGTACGCCGGGCCCGTCTTGCTGATCCGAAGGACCAAGGATGAAGTCATCACCACCTGCCCGGTGGGTCTTGAGGACCAGAAAGCCAATCTCCGGGGCAACCGGGCCAACGCGCTCCTGATCCAGCTCCTGGAGCACCGCTATCCGTACGTGATGTCCCAAGAAGGATCCGCTGCGGTCCACGACTGGCTCAGAGCCTCCAACCTCAAACAGGAAGAGGCTCTTTACCGGCGCTACAAAATAAACGATGACTGGTGTATCCAGACACTACAGAACTACAAATCCAGCCACGGGAATGGAAGCCATTTCCCTTGGAGAGTTGGGAAGCACATGGGCCACAGAGAAAAGCAGCAAATGGCGGTGTTTTTAGCCAGGAAGCACATGAAGAATGTGGAGGCCCCCCACTGGTCTCTCCTTATGCCCAGTGATTTCCAGATGCCTTGGAAATTATAGCTGGGGCCAAGGGGTTGGGAATTGTCAGAAGCAGGGTGGGGGAGAGAGAGAAAGAGACAGAAGCCAAGAAAGAGAAACAGAGGGGCTTTGAATAATTGCTGGTCTGCCTGTATTGTCTTTATCCTTTATCAATGTGTCCCAGAAACCCCTAACCTTGGGGCCAGTTGAACGACAACTCCCAGCTATGGTGCCTGGGGATATGGACGATCGTAATCTAACACATCTGTGGAGCATCAGGTTCAAGATGGCCAATTGGCTGTTTGCTCCTGATGAAAACAGGGAGTTGTGAGATGCTGAAAACAAAGGAAATGAAAGCTACAAAATTCCCACATTTGCTAAGTGACCCATTCTTACCTGGCAGGTGTGACCGTTCTTGCGTGCTTTAGAGGCGGGGTGGCAGTGGGAAGAGGGGACGCTTAAGTCACCTTTTCACCTGTTTCACAATGTCTGAACCATAACCATACCGAGTCAGGGATCAAACAAACACCACACTGGAAAAAAAACACATAAGCAACACCAAAAACACATTCAGAGTATAACCATACCGGGTCAGGGATCAAACAAACACCACACTGAAAAAAAAAAAAAAAACATAAGAAACACCAAAAACACATTCAGAGCAGTAAGGTATAACAGTCTGTTTAAGATTCTTGCACTCAAGACAGCCAGTCAACGAGGGAAAGCTTGCCTGAAGAGAAAAGTTTTCATCAGCTTGTGGAAGGACAGCAAAGAATGGGGCCAGTCTGGCCTCCTGTGGAAGGGAGTTCCGAAGTCTGGGAGCAGCCACAGAGAAGGCCCTCTCTCATGTTCCCATCAGATGCACCTGTGGAGGTGGCAGGACCGAGAGAAAGCCCTCTCTTGAGGACCTTAACACTCAAGTTAAGAGACCTCTGCTGCTTGCTCAAGCATGCATCTAGTAGTTGGTTGGACGAGGGGAGTTGGATGTTCTCAGCTCAAAATGCCCCTTCTGCAGGCAGTGTGATTGCAAACTACAAAACGTTTCCATTTAAGACCACATTCTGTAGGATCCACAGGCAAGTGTGGGTGACTCATTTATTAGGCCACTAAAAAAATCACGAATATAAGTTAGCTTTGTAACCTGTCCTCCGCCCTTTCTATACAATTGTGGTCTTGGTCTTCAATAACCAATTAAGACCCATTAGTGTTACAAAAGACCTGCCCCTCCTGGTTCAGATTCCAACCGTTAGAACATTTTTGTTGATAGGAATCTGCATAGCTGCCTGTATTTTTATTTTTGGTGGCCCCATTTATAGTCCATCTTTTTCTCCAAGGAGCTCAACATGATTCTCTCTCATTTTAACTTCACAACAAGCCTCTTAGGCTGGTGGTGAGGTCAAGAGAGATTAACTGGCCCGGAATTTACTCAGCGAGCATCATGGTAGAGTGGAAGCTTCAACTTGGGTCTCTCTGCTCCTTCTTTTACATTTTTAAGGCTGCAATTCTATGCCCACTTACTCAGGAGGAAAACCCACTGAGTTTACTTCTGAGTAGGCATGGCTAGAACCATGCTGTAAATTAAATCCACGAAGAAATATTTCCCGGGAAGACTCTGAAATACCTCTGTAACGTTCCCTGGGACAATATTGAAAGCAAACATGGTCTGATGGAATTTATTTTCCCCCAGATCCTTTTAAAATGGATTAACTCACTTTATGGTATGAACCAAAGTTATGACCTCCCCCCCCCCCAGCAATCCAACACTTGCCTCTTGTTTCTACAACCCAGTTTTCTGATTTGTGGAAACAGCCTGGTGCCTCCACCTACCGCCCAAAGAGGAACAAAGCAAGCAGAAGAGAGGAGAAAGCAAGCAAGCAAGCTTCCCTGTAACCTTATCACCTATTTTTTAGGGAGCAAAGTCCTTTTTACACTCGGTGGGGCTTAACTACTGAAGGAACATCCTTAATTGTTACACCCACAAGCTCTGCTGGTTAGTTTTTGAAACAGACTTTGCCAGTGGACTTGCATATGTTCTGCACATTTGGGGGGAATCGTCCTTCATTGGTAGCCACGCCACCTCCCGCTCCAGAAAGTAACAGATATTATATCATATCATTGGATATTATATCATATCATATCACCCAACATTGGTGGGCGACTTTAGACCCTCAGGCTGGAAATTTCCATATTCTAACAATCTAAAGCTTGTTCAGCACCAAAGGCTCTTATGATTACTTTGAGGGCGCTCAGTTTTCTGGTGAGCTAAAGGGATGATTGCTTAATTGCAATGACGACATCCTTGGGCATGCTTTTTTTTTTACAAACAACAAGACCCTGCCCCAGGAAATTTAGGATCTGAATTTTGATACAAGGGAAACATGAAAGGACAGGGAAGGGAGAAGAGGGAGAGACAAACAATATCATGGTGTTATTTCAGTTGCAGGTACTGTAATTGTGAAGACGGCAACATCAAACACAGCAGGAACAACTCCAAAGAAAATTGTACTGTACACCATTTAGCACAGGAATAAATGCTTGGCCTCCAGATTTTGCTGGGCTATATTTTCCAAAAGCACTATCCAACATGGTTAATGAGGAAGGATCATAAAAGTTTTTCGCTTTCACAGACACATGAGCATTTCAGCCACAGGCTTATATGCACGACTTAACGACTAAACAACGACAACAAAGTCCCAATAGGATTCTGACCTATTGGGAATCAGAATCCTATTGGGACTTTGTTGTTGTTAAGTCGTGTTCGACTCCTCGTGACCCCAGGGACCAGAGCATGCCAGGCCCTCCTGTCTTCTACTGCCTCCCGGAGTTGGGTCAAATTCATGTTTGTCGCTTCGATGACACTGTCCAACCGTCTCATCCTGTGGGATTTTACTCCAGAGTAAATAAAATAATGTAAACCAGAACAACAAATTACAGCTGATTCACAAGATGATGGACACATTGTGTCTGGTGTAACCTTTGTAATTATACGTACTTACTTCAGAGTAAAATCACAATAGGATTCTGGACATGGAACAGGGTTGTAGGCATAAGGTCCCAGACAGTGAACTCTGAAAGTGACAAGACTTTACATTTTCAAAGTATTGATTACATGAACATTCTGGTTATAGGCAGACTAATTAATATCAATTGTTTGGAAGCTAGTATAATGGCTGTCTTTGGTTCTTCCTGATTAACCTCTGATTCTGACACCAGGATTTTCAGAAAGAAAACAATGTCCGCCTATACACAGGGCAGTAAAATCAATCAATTCTAAAAACACTTTCTTTTCTTAACACATATAGTGATGTCAGAAACCCCGGTCTCTGTTGAAACCTCTAGTCGTAGTCTGGAATTTGTGGACGTAGCCCACTCTCAAATCTACCTTTGTAATTCCCTTCCCCTCCGCCTCCACACTAGTCCTGAAATAGTCCTGAATTCAGCAACTACATGTGTTGGGAGGGTGAATTGTTCTAATGCTGGCTTTGTGTGTTGCCATCTTTGATGCCAGATTTAATAAAATGTTGAAAAACAAATCAGAAAAAAGGACAACCCTGGAGGAGATTTAAAAAAAGACTAACTGTGCATCTGAAGAAGTGGGTTCCAGTCTCTGAAAACTTATGCCAAATAAAACTATCAGATTTAGGCTATCACAGGTCTCCTAGTTGTTTTTGCTGCAACTGAGAAATACAGCTACTCCTTGGAAATCACCAGGGTGAAAAATACAAGCAACCTGTTAAGAGGTTACAACAACTGGCGAACCAAGCAATGGCTGAAATCCAGTACAGTAATAAACTGCAGCCAAAATAGGCCCATTGTTATCACTGGAGATTTGGTGAGTCAACTCATCTGTAAGTTCCATTGATTTATTGGGCCTAATCTAATTACTTCTAGATTGCAGGCAACATAGTAAAAACAAGAGAGAGCAACAAAAAACCTTATGGGACCTTAAAGACTAATTGCTATATGTTAATTTGAGCTTTCTTGGATCAAGTTCAGTTCCACAAACATGAGACTACAGGACTGCGATATTTATACATAGCTCCATGATCAGATAATGGCCAAAGGGGTAATGGTTTGTTAGTGAAGGAATAGGCTGCTAGGCTGGGAACCATATCACACGATCAGGCTTTTAATAATTACAACTGAATACCTGAACCCCACTTTAGCAGGTCATTTTAATCTTTTCTATGTTTTCATGTTTTAATCTTTTAATTTAATTTTAAATCATGTATTGTTTAATTTGTCTTTTAATATTTAACCTATTGTGTTTTTAACTGTGTGAATTTTAATCCTGTGAGCTGCCTTGGGTTCCTGGTTGGGAGAAATGTTGAATCGTGGCGCAGTGGTTAAAACGCTGTACTGCAGCTAAAACTGTGCTCACGACCTGGGGTTCAAATCCCAGGTAGCCGGCTCAAGGTTGACTCAGCCTTCCATCCTTCCGAGGTCGGTAAAATGAGTACCCAGCTTGCTGGGGGGG